TATTGTGTTGGCAGGTAATATCATTAATTCACTTTTACAACTTTTTGGCAAAACTTAATGGCATAATGTTAATTCAATTCAAGACATAAAGCTTTTGATGTAAAGTCGTTAAGATATTTGGAAATTATAATTTACAGGTAAAGTGATAAAACAGTTTTACTTCGTGTAAACGAGAAATTATTCTATAAAATCTCTGGAAATAACCTGACAATGAACACAAAATACAGTTTATTATGAACTCTGTTTTATTATGGTGTAGACAGACGGCCAATAAAGTTCAAGGTCACGTTTTGGCATCTCTTCTGCCATTTATAACCTGATAATTCTTGGAGATTAACCTATAGTTTTGATGGTAAAACAAAGAAATGAAACGAAGCTTTGCATCCTATTTTTCTGGACCTGATGGTGCTAAAGACTTTACAAACTCTTGGAAGACTTGATTTGGTAAAGGTGAAAAAGTATAGACAGATGTTAAAACTTTACACCCTGTAGGTTGACTTGATTTGGTATTGTTTACATAATATATAGGTAGATTTTAAGACTTTGCACCCTCCATGTTGGCTAATCTCAACAAAATTTGTTATTTGATATTCTTATATGTCTTTGGTCATCCTTTCAAGAGAGTCCACATAATATACTCCTTAAGATATTTTTTATGTGATATTTGTTTTTGTCAATTCTGCATCGTTTCAGAGAGTCCACATATGTCCGTGTTCTATTTAATTGAATCATTACCTCTTTCCAATTTCCTGCTCTACTTTTTACGCCAATCATCCTGTTTTTTATCTATATCTATCTAAATTCGCAACATTTTTAAGTTCAATAAAACAGCGATAAACCAGAAGATGAAAGCTATAATAAACCTCAGGGATATATTTTACCAATAAAATTCATTGAATCTGAAGATTAGATGGTGGCCTACTTTCTTATTTCTTTTATTTCAGTCATTTGGGCCTCATTCTGAAAAATCAGTCGTAGAAAATAGCTTTTATGGCTCTGGGGTCAATGACTGGTAACTTAAAAAAGACTGGTTGATGCAAACGTAAAAAAAAGTGGTTAAAGGAATGGTGGGATGGGACTTTTCAATTTTTGAAGATAAAACTGCGAAAGATCTTATACTATTAGATATTTCTATCATGTTTCACTTTAGCAGGTTAACCTCGAGATAATATATATTCATGGTGTCACATGACTTTCAAATTAGCCAATTGACGCGCTTGCTTTTATCCATAAATACTCTGTTTTGTAAATATTTAACTTTTCTGATTTCACTTGCAAAGCCACTGGGAATCAAAATGCTTTCGCTTCATTTTCTGTTTTCCATCAAACCTTCCCATCTTTTGTCCCAACAGCTCAATTTTCCATCCCAAATTATATCAATTGTCAAGCAAACCTTCCCAAGGATAAATTAGCCCACAAATTTATACCTGATCACCAAACAACAATATGACAATGTAAATATTAGGTTTAAAAGTTCACAGATCTACCTTCTTTTTGTACTTGAATGATTTAAACCTATCCTTTCATTTATGAATTACTTTACAAGATTGGTCTGGCTTTATTCATGAATGAATAATACTACTGAATGTCCATCAAACCATTTTCTCCCTGTCAGTGATACAGGTCAAAGGGGCTGACATTGAAAAAGCGTCTAGTCGTTCAGATGGAACAATTAGTATATATCTCTTGTGGTACAGGCTATTTTTTGTGAGAGTACAAATGTCAAACCCTTACCCCCACTGCCTGTCAGTGATGTATATGTTAAATATCCTTCGACAGTTGGAAATACAAAAAAGATATGTTAATGCCACTGTCCTGACCAAATTTTCCTCATTGCACACTGCATGGCATTGCCGATCTTCAGAATAGTGGGATGTTAAACTCCCTTTTATTTCTGATTTCTTCACAAGTCTATTTTTACCTCCCAATGCAGAGAGTCCTTGAAGAGAGTAAACAGAGAAGCTGTGAATAAGGCAGAAGAATTTTGAGATTTTAACCCTATTAATGTCAAAGATTGACACTAGCTGGTGTTAATGTGTGGGAGGTGAAATTTGATCTGTTAAAGGGTTAATGAAAAGCCACATTCTTGGAATATTTTGAATTTATTATCATAATAAGTAGGGAAATAGTTTAATGGGAGGTAAAATATAGAATTAGATAGTAGTGTGGACTCTCAAAAGGAAGCAAACTTTGCTCAGCTTCTATATGGACTCTCTGAATAATGCTGACTTATCAAAACTACATATCAAATGAAAATTATTAGCTATGTGGACTCTCAAAATTATGATGCCAAGTTGACAATGCCTTGGTACCATTTTGCTATGTGGACTCAAAAGAGGCTGACAAGCTAGAATTGATCAAGAAGTTTTATTTTCTATGACATTTTCATGGACATGTGTTCCATATGAAGTTTTCGAGGAAAGGCATTGTAATTCCAAAGCTTTTTATATTGAATTTGTGGACTATATTGATAGATATAGTCGTATATTCTATAAAAACGTGTCCACTGGGAAAAGTAGAAGTAGAGTAATCTAGGTATAATATTACTGAGTTGAGTATTTATCATGTAATATTATACTCCTTATGGAACAGGGATAAAGAATGGTTGTAGGTTAGGATATATGATATTCTCTAGGTATTATAGACTAACTTATATCATACTAGGAAGCCCACTGACCTAAAACTTCAGACAGCCCCTACTTGACTAGAGCTCATCTCATGAGACAATCCTCATCAGGTCAGCTTTTACTGGAGAAATAGTCCTTATGAAATCATTGCTATGAGGTTTGGTCAAGGACCAGCTGGTAGAAAGGATCCTCTTGAACCTAAGTTGTTATCATTACCAATAGGTTTGATCAAGAACCAGCTGGTAGACAGCATCCTTAAGAACCTATATTGCTATGCTTTTAAAATCAATGCTAAGAGGTTTGAGCAAGGTCCAGCTGGTAGACAGCATCCTTAAGAACCTAAAGTGAAAAATCATTGCCCAGATGTTTGAGGGAAGGATTGAACATTATAAAGATGTTTTGGCATTTGAAAAAGTCCTGGCGTTACCCTCCTTTGAAGAAAATAAGTAGTAGGTTAAAACTCTGTGTTATTTTCTATCATTTAAAGACATGCACAGACACAATAAAACTGTTTAAATACACCTACATCTCTTTTGATAAAAACTTTCACTGATATAAAACTAATGAAATGTCATGTTTAGATCCTGTCTAACCTTTTAAAATATGCATCAAATATTTCAAGTGTGGGCACTGTACGAGGTTAAAGGGGACATGTTTGCTAGCTGTCTTCATTAGCCCACGTGGTGCAGAAAAGTAGAACGTAAGACTCCATTCATTTCATTTCATTTCATTTCACACAGGAATTGTGAGTTAATCCTTTCTCCCAGTGTTCAAAATATATGAGTTTTGTATTGTGTTGGGCACTGTACAGGCATTAAAGGGAACTACTCATATAATGTTGATTGTCTATCTTCAAGTCAATCTCTTCTTGACAACTATAATATAAATATTGCAAAATATACTCTGTAAATTGGTGCAGACCTCCACTTTAAAGAGTTGAATTCAAATGTGTACGTGTTAAACTTCCATTTCAATTTCTGTTGACGCGTTAAAATTGTCGTAGGAGGCCATTAATGTCATCTAAACCTGGTCAAATTTGATAAAAACAAACGTAGGCAGTGATATCGGGGTGTGGAAATCTTATTGAAGTCATTTCTTGCAGTTTTACATCCTTTTGAATTCATTTATAATGGACTATATAAAGCAGAGATCATAAGGTTAGGTCAAAAGGTTATTGGGACGAATGTTAAAGGGCTGTAGTTAGATCCTAACTGAAGTGGTTGAATTAAAAATAAAATGAAATTTGATTTTACTACTACAATTATGTTCTGAACATGAAGATAGGCACGTTATGGAGTGTGCAATGAGGGAAATTCGGAATTTACTGTGGATATGAATAGAACAATTTATATGTTCAGGGTCAGGGTATATGATGTTTTCAATATTTTTAATTTGAACTTACTAACGCTTTAAATGTAGATATATAGCAGAGCTCGTTAAAAACTTTCATTGTTTCTAGTTCCGTGCAATAAAAGAGTCAACATGTTTCAAACTACTCATCAAATGTTTGCCATTTCACTCTCTAATCTTAAAGCCTACATTATTCAATTTGTAGGACGTCTGATAAATGTTTACTCGCGTATTAGAGAATTGAAATTTTTTATAAACGGTAAATTAGTTTTGAGTATGACATGTTAAATAAAGATTACAATCTTTTGATAGAAATATTACATGATTGCTTGTACTAACTCCTCTCAAGATTCTGATTACAAAAAATCAAATGTACTTTAAGGTACGGATGTGCCATTTTGGGGAGTTGATTTGAGTCTTGAAAAAAAGTAAATAGTTAAAAATTCTTTCAAAAATATCTCAAACTATGAATTTTACACTCATTTTCTATATATATGTCTTTTCTATCACAGAGTGAATGACAAGTCATTTTGTTGATTTTTGAAATGAAATGAATTCAAAATGGCAATTAGTTGAAATCAAACCATGCTTTAGACTGTCTGGTACCTAATTATTTTTATGGCTATAGCTAACTGACATCTGCTGAATACAAACAACTTCCTACCGTATCAGTCACAAGTACAAACACATCACTCAAACTCACTGATTTATCATGTATTTTAAGTGATTTAGTGTGTTTTTCTGGCTATAGCTAATTGACATCTGCTAAATGTAAACATGGAAACCAATATCAGAAAACAAGATAATGATCTAACTTTCTACCATAGAAAAATATTATTCACATATATAACAAATCAAAAACATCACTCAAAATCACTGTTATTTGCTGTTTTATCTTGTTTTACTGGCTGTTGCAAATGAACATCTGTCAGCAAGTTTGAAATAACTCCAGGCAAACTGATAACTAATGTAGAATTATTGTAATTTCAGGGAGTTAGCCATGGTAGTGAAGAATCTCTAGAAAAGCGTTCCAGTCTACCCCGAATGAAAAGTTACGATGCTGTTGTTTTTGATGTACTCAGAGTCTCTCCTGATGATTTTGCTGTAAGTTTCAAATCTTTAATTTTCTCATGGAGCTGCATTGGCTAAGTGAATAAGACACTTGCTCGCTAAACTGAAGGTCCAGGGTTCAATCCTGACATAGGTTGAGATAATACCTTTGGATTTTTCAAAGAGTTCTGCCCGTGTCAATGATGCAGCTAAGAGAGGCTGACCTGGAAAAGAGTCTTGTACCCTGCAGATGACAAAAAAAACAAGGCCCTGTGTGCTACAGGCTGTGCTCGTTGAAGTGTAGGCTAATGTCACTATCCTGTCAAAATAACCTTTATTGCACACTGCATGGCGTTGGATGTTTTTATTAGCCCATATGGTGCAGAAATTTCATTTCGTATTTCAATGTCTCAATTTCACAAGGAAAAAGAGAAGATATGGCTTTTGTTCATTACTTTTCATGATAATAGCAAGTTTTCTTTCTTTCTCTCTAAAAACAGAATGTAAAGTTTGTAACATCATCAGTCAACCTAGTTAATTATCTTTCCTTTATCACATAAAAAATTCTGGCTTTAAATATCATTGTTGATTGATGAATGAATAACTGAATGAATGAATGAATGAATGTATGAATGAATGTATGATGGAATGAATGAATGATGGAATGAATGAATGAATGAATGTATGAATGAATGTATGATGGAAGGAATGAATGAATAACTGAATGAATGATGGAAGGAATGAATGAATGATGGAATGAATGAATGAATGAATGATGGAATGAATGAATGAATGATGGAATGAATGATGGAATGAATGAATGAATGATTGTATGAATGAATGAATGATTGTATGAATGAATGAATGATGGAATGAATGAATGATGGAATGAATGTATGAATGATGGAAGGAATGAATGAATGATGGAATGAATGAATGAATGAATGATGGAATGAATGAATGATGGAATGAATGAATGATGGAATGAATGAATGATAATATTTGAGATTAAGTTTGTAGTTATGACAAGCATTCCTTCAATCATCCAATTCTCTTCATTCACTTGACTCATCAATAAAGGTCAATTAAGTCGCGTGACATTTGCTGATGTTGTAATAAACTGATAATCTATCTAGAGATCGTGTTAGTCTGACCTTCATCAAGTTTCAAGGTCGTCTACTTACTTTATTCTTTTGTTTATTCATCCTTTCATTCATTCATCATTCTAACGATGTTTCTGACAAATTCAAATTCATTCCTTTGCTAATTTATTCATTCATTGCCCCTACTTCTCTCTTGGAATTCATGCAGTGCTTCAGACACATTAAAGATTTCTAAATACCAATTGACATCAAATATTCAAATTCATTCCTTCTCTGACATTTCTTACTTTCTCTCGTGGAATTCATGTTGTACCTCAGAAAGATTTCAAAATAGTTATCAGTACCCAAAAGGCTGATTGTGTGGTGAGAGAGAGAAGGGGGAAGTCTGCCAACATTATTTCTTACCATTAATGAATTTTTTTACATTTTTTCAGAGTCAAATAACATTAATGGATTTACCAGTATTCCAAGCCATCCAGCCAGATGTAAGTAACTTCTTTATAGTGGCACCAAAACTCCAGGTATTGTCATGGCAATGCTTAGGCAGGGGTTAGCTTAGATGAAAAGTTTTTGGAGTTTTCAGCCTGGTTTTCCCATCATTGACATTTGGACATGGGAGAATACAGCTGTAGACTGCTCCTTAAAGATCCATTCACAGTATGCTAATGATGCTGTCCTGGCAAAATTTTCCTCATTGCCCACTGCAAGAAATTGTACAGAAATTGTACTGTGCACGAGTCTAAACTTGGGCGTTTTATTTCATGTGGAAATTTGAAATTCACAATAAGTGAAATACTTTAGGCAAGTTTTCTTAAAATTATTTATGATGTAAAATTTTATATATATTTTTCAGGAATTAACATCGTGTGCCTGGACAACCAAGACTAAATTAATTCGAGCTCCGTACGTGGTAGCCTTTACTCGTAGGTTTAATCATGTAAGTATATTCTACAATTTTTACATCTTCCGTAGCGAAAGTTTTCAATAAGATGGTGGTCCAAAAAAATTACAGGGAAAAACTATAATTGGGCAATGCAAAAAAGTGAGGCGTTTAACAAGGAAATGAATTTGCTGTATCTTGATATCAAACTTTTAATTTTCTGTTCTGATTCTTTAGCAAGGTTGAAAAAGTTAGTGGCTCAAATTAGTGAAAAAAATGTTGTTATTTCTTTGAACTAGAAACTAAATTTTTAAAAAGTGATAATTAATATGTCCGTCTGAAAGAAAATGGAATTGAAACCCTTGTCAGAAGTCAGAAATACAAATGGCATTTATTTTTATCTGTCATAATTGCAAAAACGTGTAATTTCGTTGAACAAGAATTTAAGTTACTGAAGAATAATTATATACATTCCTCTTTCAAGAATATAGAATTTGACATTCTTATGGCCTTTAATAAACACAAATAGAAATGACATTCCTTTAAACTATATATCAAGAATCAGAAAGTATTATTTAGTTTTTAAAAGCTATAATTAATATGTCAGTCATTAATATTATATAATTGCAAACTCTTTATGGCTTTGATAAAAACAGAAATAGAAAATGAAAAAACTAGAGTTTTTGAAAAGCTATGATTAATATGTCAATCTTTAAGAATATGGAATTGGAAACTCTTTATGGCTTTGATAAAACAGAAATAGAAATGGCATTTCTTTTTATCTGTCGTGATTGTCAACTAAGTAACGTTATCTAAGCCTAACAGGCTATATTTAAACCTGTGATACAGAGCAGAACAATGGGAAAATATTGACTAACTGTCCTGAAAATAGCAGGTTATTTTTCAACTCTTCAATGAATATCAGGGAGATAGAAAAGACAAATTTTGTTCTTGATAATTGAATGATATCGTAATGTTATATTAGTATGTTTTATTACTTTGAAAACTCTTCAGTTGCTTGGAGAAAAGTGCAGTAAACTAAAAACAGTAGGATATAAAACTGCAATGTTTGCTTACAGGCATTGTGTAAAATTAGCCTATTTTTATTCTATCAAGATGTTGAAATTTGTATGGTTTCTCCAATCAGAGACACTTTTAAGGATTCTTGAAAATTGGATATTAAAAAATCACAACACTTCTAGAACTTGTTATTAGAAGCCTTATTAATTATGTAGGTAGATTTTATCTCGGTTAGGATTTAGACCACATTCAAAACTATTATATATTTCTATCGTGTTTCACTTTAACAGATAAACCACATATATGGGCTAAAGGGCATGATGTCGCATGTGATCTTGATCTTAACTAGCTAATCAACACATTTCTACATACAGTTTGTTTTGGAAATATGAACAAAAAAACTTGCTACAATAGAAAAATATTTTTGAAATATAGTTTTGAAGAGACAGTTAGAATTCAGATGTTTTTGCCAGTCAAGATCAGTGGCCAGTTTCAAAATATCTGTCCTTATCTCAGACTTTTCTTGTCCTTTTCAGGTGAATTTTTGGGTGCAGAAAGAAATTTTAAATTGTCAGACGCTGAAAACAAGAGCAGAAGTTTTATCCCATTTTATAAAAATAGCCAAGAAATTACACGATTTAAACAACCTCCACGCTGTCATGGCGGTGATATCTGCGTTGCAGAGTGCTGCCATCTTCAGGCTGTCCAAAACATGGATGGTAAGTAGAAGTTTTGTCCAGAATGGTGACGCAATTTGCAAGTTGAAGGGACTGACAGGAAAAACAGTCATTCGGATGGGACAATAAACAGAGGCTCTATGTACTGAAGGCTGTGCGCGTTAAAGATCCCATGACAGTTGCAAATCGAATACATGCCTGTGCCCTGATAGGTGGAATTCTGTCCTACAAGAACGAAAGACTAACTATCTTATGGTTATTTTGATGTAAAACAAAATGGCTATTGAATTATTGAATAAAATGACTGGGACAGCTATTGCTACTGAGAATCCAAAATTCATAGGAAATTGCATTTCTGTCCGATAAAAAAGAAAAAAACCAATTTGTTCCTATCATATGGATATTATGATAAAAAACAAATAAAAGCAATGAACTTGAAGTAAAATATTTTGAAAACGAAACATGTGTTTAGTTAGATAACATTGTTTGATTAAGTAATTGATTAAATACTTGATAATCTAGTCTATTAAGCTTCCATTAACCAGTATTAAGAAGATTATTGATTTAGGTATTGATTGGATTCAAGGAATCATAGATTCTTTTATCCAGTACTTCTCGCACTAAGATATTGATTCGTATGACCTAAGGAGCATTGATTATCAAGTATTCTTGCTGTTGAAGTTAAGGTGGCGAAAATTTTGAAGTTTTTATATCCAGTCTTCTTTGCACTTAAATAACAGTTTAAACATTTTGAAGACTCTGTTATCCAGTACTAAACTTGAATATTGACCTTCAAGATGTAGCTTTAGTTATCAAGTACTGAAGATGCATTGATCCAACATACGCGAAATTTGACGACGAACTCAGCTGTCAATCTTTTTATCCAGGCTGTTAATCTCTCGTTGATGGTTAATTTGAATTGAATGTTTCATCTTACCGATGAACTGGACTGTATTTAATCTCTATCATCAAGCCTTACTCTCTTTGTGAATTGCTACAGATCAAAAAGTCTTTACGATCATGCCTGTGAATATTCTAGATTCTTTTTTCCAGTCCTATTGATTGCTTATCGATTTTCTACTCAGGAACGTGATCTATCATAGCCTCTATCATTAAGTCATTTAATTGCACCAACCTGAATGTGACGATGTTAATTAAGTTTCTTTTATCCAGCCCCATAAGATATTTTGATTGGTTATCGATTTAAACCACGAAACTGGATCGGTCTATAGCCTCTGTTGTCCAGTTTCAACTGTATTACAACGTGCATGATTGAACCATGAAATAGATAAAGCTTCTTTGTTCTTCTATCCAGACCTGAAATTGATTTGGTCTTAAACATATCATTCATTTTAGCCTCGATAATTGGTGCGAATTTAAAACAAAACGTAAATGGCGTTCTAAAATTGAACAGCAGACTTTCCGTTTAATACTTTTTTTAATGCAGTCCTAAAATTAATTTGAAGATTAAGAGTTGATATTTTATTTAGACTCCATTTCCCAGTTTTAATTCGATCAGCCTTGCATGTCCAATCATGAAATAACAATCTTGTCAATTTTCTGTTATCCAGTGCTTACATCGATTTGAAAACTATAGGACATGATTTATCTAGAAGACACCATTAACCAGGTAGATTAGCTAACTAATTGCTGATCAGTTATTCATGTCAGGTTTTTAGAAAGCCACACGTATTGTATTGCCACGATAAATTGAAAGTAGACCTCTGTTATTGATAAACGAATTAATGAACGGAATTAGATTATCAGTATTGATCTCATCAATTTACGTTATATTTACGTAAATGTATTACTTCGTTTCGTGACTTGGTTATAAATGTTGATGTCATTTCATACGTTTTCTGATGCAATATTGTTAAATGTACTTTTGAAAAGATTTTTTTTATGCCTTTTTCGAAATTGCATGATTTAAAAGATTAATGGTCATTATACAAACTTCATGGCTAAATTTCTCAAAAACTAAAAGTATATAATCATCTTCAGCAGGTAATTTCAGCTATCTGTTTAGTCGTCTAAATATTTACTTATCTAGTTCATAGAGCTTCATTTCAACCATCTGTAACATTTTTCATAATTAAAATCTAACTTCCAGTTCTCCTACAATTCAATGAAATAAAAACATGCAGTTGGTATGCAATGTTTTAACAAACCAGAAACTCGTTGAACAGCATGATTTTATCAGTGGAATCGGCAAGATGAACTTAAGCGCCATTGTTATTGATAATTTGACTGTCTTTATTCCAGATGCTATCAAAGAAAGATAAATCTATCTACGAGAAGATGGCTGATCTCTTCTCAGAGAATAATAATCGGCAGAAATTACGAGATTACATGGACAACGTCAAATTACCCTGTATTCCTTATCTAGGTAAGTGCTGCCACCTAGATAACCTGCCCTTGTGACCTGAAAATCCAGTCTCATCCTGTTTTATTAAGTCGCTGATATTAGCAGCTTTTGTGATAGTGAGGCCATTAAACGCTTCTTGTGGAATTGCAGGAATCACAGACGTCTGATTGAAAATTGTAATGGTCCAAATTGATGCTATCAGTGTCCTCAATCTCTCTTTATAATCCCTTATTATTTTGATCACATCCCTTGGTCTTAATGTGAATGGTCTCACTAAGCAAACAGTTGTCAAAAAATAGGATTCAAACCCACAGCACCCAATCTTCTAACAATTACTACCATCTTATATATGTATGGTCTATATTTCAGGTCTCTATCTAATTGATCTGATCTATATTGATGTGGCTCACCCCCATCATGAAGGATTCAAACCCACAGCACCTGATTTATATATTGTCTATATTTCAGGTCTCTATCTAACTGATCTGATCTATATCGATGTGGCTCACCCCCATCATGGAGGATTAGAAAGTCAACCTAGAAGACTACAGATGAATAATATACTCAGAGTTATTGCCGATTTCCAACAGTCTAATTATGGTAAGTGCTGTGACGCTATCCTGATGAGGATTGTGTATCTGAAACTTTTTTCAGCAACATGAGTTGAACTCTAGTCATTTAGCTAATATTACCCTATATTTCTAAAACTAGCTGTCCTGATGAGGATTGTATATCTGAAACATGTGTAAGCTCTTGTCAATGTTAAAGAGAAAAATATACCCCTTATTATCTGCTGTAGATTTATGTAATTTGTAAATAATTTTGTATTTAATATTATTATAATTGTAGAAAACCTAACAGTATTAGAACATGTACAGAATTATCTGAAATCTGTTCGATATATTGAAGAATTACAGAAATTTGTCGAGGATGATAATTATAAGTAAGTTACACTTTTAACATTTTCTTATTTGAATACTCCCAGTTTCTTAGTGGGATCCACGGTGGCTCAGTGAGTTAGACGCGTGCTCGTTAACCTGAAGGTCCAGGATTCAATCCTGGCATTGGTCAAGATAATACCTTCAGATTTTTCGACCCGGTTTCCTCCTGTCAGTGATGCAGGTCAGAGGGGCTGATATTAAAAAAGTGTCTAGTATTTTGGATGTGCTACAGACGCTGTACATTAAAGATCCCTTGGCAATTGGAAATTTCAAAAGAGCAATTATTCGTTAATCTCCATTTCTTTTCACATTCCTTCGTAAGACCTTAATCTCCATCTAATTTCATTTTTATCGTAATTTTTCCATATTTTTTCAGATTATCGTTAAAACTGGAGCCAGCTACTAGTCAGGGTGTACCGTCAACGTCTGGAGAAGACATTACGATCAATATCCTACCTCCCTCTCCAGCAACCGAGCCTCGTCCTGGTTGTCTCTCCGTCGGTGGTTCGTCTAGATACGCCCCTGGTCATCGGAAATCTCGTAGCTTAACGGCCAAGTAAGTTATTTATAAGTTGAATTTTTGTGTTTTGGGATATTGGAGTTAGTACTGAGAATTTGGTGTTGGGATATCAGCGTTGCAGGATGGTTTTCACTTTGTTGATAATATACCTTATAGGAGCTGATCTCCATTTGTAGTAGAGATCATTCAGGTGTTTGGAAATAAAAAAAAATGGCTCTTGTTTGAGGTTCCGTTTAAGTTTAAGTTTAAGATCTCTCAGCTGTTGGAAATATAAAAATAAGAAGCAAATGCTGTTTTTCTGACAAAATTTCCCTCATTGCATACTCCATGGCCCTTCAGACATTAATTTATTATTTCACTTTGTGCATTTTTTAATTCATTTCATTATGTGTCATTTCATTTCATTATGTGTCATTTCATTTCCTTATGTGTCATTTCATTTCCTTATGTGTCATTTCATTTCATTATGTGTCATTTCATTTCATTATGTGTCATTTCATTTCATTATGTGTCACTTCATTTCATTATGTGTCACTTCATTTCATTATGTGTCATTTCATTTCATTATGTGTCACTTCATTTCATTATGTGTCACTTCATTTCATTATGTGTCATTTCATTTCATTATGTGTCATTTCATTTCATTATGTGTCACTTCATTTCATTATGTGTCATTTTATTTCATTATGTGTCATTTCATTTCATTATGTGTCACTTCATTTCATTATGTATCTTTTGATTACAGTTTTATGAGTTGTACTCATCCTCAAGTTGAGAAGAGCTACAGTCTTCCGTCGAGAACGACAGCACCGTATGTCCAGGGTATCAGACATCTTTTAGATGATAGTGTATTAGAAGAGGAATCACCGTGTGCCTCTAGTGATGGCTCTGTTTGTAGTAAATTTACTTCACGTAAGTACATTTCAAGTTTTTTTAAAAGATAGGACAATAAACTGAGATTGTGTGTGCTACAGACTGATTAATGATCCTTTGTCAGTTAGAAAAGTGTCTTGTCGTTTGGCATGGACAATTCATTAAGGCTCTGTGCTATAGGCTGTGCACATTGAAGATCTCTTGACAGTTGAAAAAAGGGTAGTCTGATACTTCCATGGAAACATTTCCCTCATTGCATACTGCAGCCAGGTCTGAAGTGTATCATGATTCTAGATATCTGCCATAGGTGCAGATGTTAATTAGCTCAATCGAATGCAAAAATGTAGGATGTAAGACACCATTTCCTTTCATTTCATAAACATTTTAATTTTGGGTGTTTTGGGCAACAAAGCATGCATCAGTTGTAACAGAATATTTCTGTATTTTACAGTAGAACAACGTGAACAGTTAGATTCAACGTCCAGTGAACAGGAGACATTCTGGCCGGCCAGAAACGAGTAAGTTAATTTATTCAACATGACCTATTGACCTCAGACCTTACTGTCACTTCTCCTGGCAAAATTCCCCTCATTGCATACTGCATGACTTTTAATAACTCCTTGAGATGCAGTCATACTGGATCAGTAATATTCAGAAAGTTACGGTGTTAAACTAGCTTTCAGTCATTTACCATGATTTTGCCGAAAGTTTCACTTTCAGTTAACCATTTTGAACTTCCAGCCAGACATGACCGGTAATAAATGTTATCCCTGTTTCAGGATGCCATGGGGAACGGAAGAAACAACAGGAGAAATTTATCAGGCTGCGTTTACGTGCGAAGGATGTCTACGTCGTAAAACTTTGCTCAAAGACGGGAAGAAACCAACTGTATCGTCATGGTCACGATACTGGGTTGCATTATGGGGAACAAATTTATTATTTTATCCGGCCAAATCACTCAGGGGCTCCGATAGAACAGCGGTGAGTTGTAAAATATTTTGCTTTTGAGGGTGATCTGTAGCACAAGAGATTAGATGGTTGGAACCTTTACATGACATCATTTGCTTGGTTAAAGTGAAGTTTTCAAGAATAAGACCACAGTTGTAAAAATGAGTTTTATGTCCTACTTTTCTGCACCTTGTGGGCTAATGAAGACAGGTATCACAGTTGTAGAGAAATAATTTGAATTATTGTTACTAAGTATCAATTAGATTTGAAAAAAACGATATACACTCCCATCTCCCTAATGTGGTCAAAGGGAGATAATTCGTAAAAATCACAAACCGAAATTGCTGTGTAAGGAGGCAAATTGTCAAGCTGTATCTTAAGTCTGACTCGAAATAAAAAAAAAATAAACACCCATTACTTAAAATATCATCCCATGTTTTTTTTTGCCGTTTATTTTCAGTTTAAAACTAATCCAAGTAAGATGACGTCGATTGTTGGTTGGATGGTCGTATTAGGTGATAACCCTCTACACCCAGACGCCTTCCAACTCACTGATCCTAATCGAGGAAATGTCTATAAGTTACGAGCTGGCAGCCAATCACAGGCTTTACAATGGTGTAGAAATTTGAGCGAGGCGTCGAAACGATTTAATTCTAGGGTAGGTAACTTTGGTGGTTTTTTTGTAAAGTTTTTTCAGCAGAAATTAGATTTGAATTTCATTAGAAGGAGTTAAGAATTTTAAAATTCAATTTTTTCACGTTTTTCTCCCTTTTTTATTTCAGACCCCAGTTAATTTGATGTCTTTCGACTGAACTGTAAAACTGTTGGGGAAAGATAAAGGTGCTCAAAGACTACTTAACTATAGCCATGTGATTGGTTTCTAGTGATCACATGACTTATATTGGCCAATCAGCTGGTCTGATTATAATAATAGCCAATCAGAGATAGTGATATCATCGGCCAATCACAGCTCAGTATTTATGGTAGATTAGCCAATCAAGACAAAGCAGATAACACTGCTGTGATAAATCAACCAATCAGCATAAAGCTGTGGATTTTAAATGGAAATATTTTGTATTAGTCATCATTCCTTGACAACTTTTAGACGTTGTTAACGTGATGTTGTTACCGTGGAAACGTGTTGCTCAACATGGATTGGTCAAGATAAAATAATGAATTTGTGTCGTATTTTTATAATGAATTCAAGATTTTTAGCTAATCGCTGTGCTTAAATTTCATCATGTGCTTCCAGATCTCCTATGCAATGTATTTCGTTGTCGTTGGACACTCGCGCTCCAGATATTACTAGTTTTCATTGGTTTAAATTTAACCAATAAAATCATTGCGTTTGCCAGTAAAAAAGTTGCTTTGGCAAAAGTGATTTTTCAATATAATACTCAATTCAAAAACTTGAAAGTGTGGAAATTTGAGACATTATAAAGCTCGGAAACTAAAGTTCATAGAAATAGAAGCTTGGAAATGTCAAAATCAGGAAGTTTTAAAGCTCGAAAACTCAAGTTCGTCAATATATAAGCTCGTAAAAGTGATTGGAACTTCTAGAAACTCAGAAATTGAAAAGTTTTAAAGCTCTTGAACTAAAGTTCGTCAAAATAGAAACTTGGAAATATGGTATTGGGTTCCCTAAAAGAATTTCTGAACACTTGAAGCATGAGATTGGCAGAGAAGCTTGATTCAATGGAGAAAGATATCCTATAATTCTGAAATTTGGGTTCTGCTTCCGCTAACCGGGCTTATTTCAAGCAGAGGAAAGCTTCAAAGTGGAGGTAAAAAGGCTCTAAATGAACTTAGCAAATTTAAAACCCCTCTGTTTATTCGTGAATTTAAAACAGAGTTTTTAAAGCATTTGGAATTGGAAAAGAAGAAAATGTTGAATTATGGAACCTCAAAATTTATAAATTGTCATGGAATTAACCAAGAAAGTGTCTACATGGAAAAGTTGTTTTTGTAAATCCTCCAAAATTTTAGCTATCGATATGGATTTAAACCTCAAATTCTGAGGAAAAATTGTTTTGTGGACCCTCCAAAGTAAATCTTTAGTGTATGAAATTCCTGACATGGATTTAGAATTCTGAGTCTGAGATTGGAAGAATTATTTTCTGAATTTAATTAAAAATATGCTGAAATCAGCTGTAATGAAATTAGATGATGAATTGTACAAAGAAATGCACTTGTTAAAATTTTCAAAAACTGTAAAAATGTTTTAAAATTGTCAAAAAATTGTAAAAATTTCACTTGTTATTAATTACACTGAAAGCTGATTTTTTTTTTTGGCGCCGAAACATGGCTGCATTTTGAAGTGCTAATGCCTTAAAAGTTTTTTTGGTAGATCGAATTTCTGTCCAATTTTTGCAATTTTAGTCTTTGAAATTGTTCCATCCAGTGGAAGAATATAAAACAGACTTTCATCTGTACTGCGATTTTTTATTTGGAATCAGAATTTTGTTCCTTCAAAAATCTTGCGAAAAAATTTTGTAATTATGAAATTTTGTAATTATGAAATTTTGTAATTATGCATCAAAATTTGATCGTAAGATTTTAAGAAAAACAAGATCCTTGCTTGGTGATTCGAAATTTTTGGTTTTAAATTTCCTAATTTTGTTTCGTTGGCTTAGTTAAGTTTTGTTTCTTTTCTTTTTCGTTTTTTGAAACTAAGTAGAATAAATTGGGACAATCTTGAAATTTGAATAAAATACAAGTTTTGAAAATTAAAATTCACGAGTGAGATAATAAAAGTTTATCATGTCCAAAGAAATAGTAAGATTAGAATGGTAGATTTTGGGGATCTGATTTATCGTAATTCTGGAAATCTCTGACTGCGTTACTCTACAGTAAGACTTACAACTTCATTGCGTTTTTGAAAGATTCAAAAGAATAGATCAGTTCATCATTACGAAATAATGTTGGGAAAAACGAGATACAATTCCATGTTTAATTTTAGAACAGTACCAGCTCAAAGAGAGCACAATTTCGCTCTATTTGAATTATCAATTTTTACGATAATATGTATGGATATACGATTTAAAATTCCATTGTTAAGAGCAACATTAACGAACTTGCTGAAATAGACACAATTGCCACCAAGTTTGTTTTAAAATCCATTATGTGACAGTAGGTAGGATTCCATTGTTCCATAGAGCGATATAAACAAACTCGTTGAATAGGAGCGTTAGAAGTAAAATAAAGGGAGATAATAAGATAGAAACGAGCGTACGATTTTTTTTATTTTTGTGCAATAATTTTGTATAACAGTTATATTATCAGTCAGTATTATTATTATTATTATTATAATTTATCTTCAAGTCTAAACTATGAAATATAAGGATTAGGGGCTTGTCTAGCCTTTATATGCTATCTGTATCATTTATCACAAGTCAAATCTTGCATTCGGTTTTCCTTAAATTCTACAAAAACAAGTGTATCTGGACACTGATAGCATCAATTTACACCATTCCCATTTTCAATCAGACGTCAGTATTTTATGACGTCACTATGGCAATGACCGTTGAATATTATTAGCAGCTTTTGCAATAGTGACGTCATAAAACCATGAGTTTAAGTTGAATTACAGGAACCACAGATATTAGATTATTAATTGGAATGGAGCAAATTGATTCTCTCAGTGTCTCAGATACACATATAGTGTAGAAAATCTCTTTAAGTCATCAAAATTTATACTTTATCCAGAAAAATGAAAAAAAAACTTGTCTTGTACAATCTGTTTGATAATAAATTATAAATTATAATCTAAGAATGCTATAAGAGTGCTTTATATACAGTGTGCTAAGTTAATTAAAAAATATTAATTAAAAATATAAATTAAGTGAAAAAATAAATATATATCTCTAATATAATATAAGGTTAAAAATATAAAAAGTTCCACTGAATGAAATTTCTGAAATTTGAAAGTTTGAAGCCAAATTCAAAATGCCTAAGCATGAGACATAATATATATTTAAAAGGTTGAAAAAAATACTAAAATATCATTTACTAAAGCCTCATCTCATGCTGTTGACACATGTTTCAGATATACAATCCTCATCAGGACAGTTTGATTGATATAAGAGTTGACTTTCAAAAATTGGACTTTTTTGAGCAAAGTAATCAAGCTCGCTAAGATATGACATTTTAAAATGTGTGCTTTATCCTTCTGTACTAATATTTCATCTTGAAGTGTTTTATTTCGTAACTGGTATAGGGCATTATGGGTATTTTACGAGACGCAGAAACAAAGTTTGTATGTTCAAGAGATAGATAATTATTGTATCCCATTTGTACTTATACCTCGACTGCAATAGCCACTATTCTTGTATAATGGAATGCAGTGATTTGATTGGATTGTACTCCAGCGAATACAGTCAATCAGAACCCTGGACAGCTAGTCTGAAGCCATTATGCTCACAGTTTCTGTCAAGGGTTCTGATTGGCTGTATTCGCTGGCCTACAATCCAATGCCAATCAAATCACTCATACCTTGTAGTCAAGGTATGAGACTAAGTTCGTAAAAGCTTGACATTGAAGATGACTTGACACAAACCTCTAATGAACCAAAATCCAAATTTTCCAGTTACGCTTTAAAACAAAAGACTTGCTGAAAAATTCTACAATTCCAAAAGTTTTGAGAAAATTTTTCAGCGAGTTTCTCATTTCATCCATCTTTTGCTTGTTAAAAATTTCATTTAAATTTATATTTTAATAATTCAATGTTCATAAATTCAGTTTTTTTGCCAAAATATTTATTTTTGTCATCATTTTCCATTACATTTCTGATATTATGACAATTTTTAAGGCTAAATCTGCCAAAATGTATCTTAGTAAGTTAAAATGCATTAAAGAAAAGGGTACTTTTTGCTGGGAATGATCTGAAATATTCTGTGATTGTCGTCTGCTTGGTATATTGACGCTATGGATTCAAATCTCTTCAAGAACATTTCTTCACTGTTTGGATATTCTTTGGTTAGCTTAATCACCAATTGCAGTCAGAACCAAAATTTTATTAAAGTTTAGACTTAGATCATTCCTCTTTAAGTAAAAATGTCCGTCTGCTTGGCCTCCATTTTGAAATGATAATTTATAATCTCTGTTATGATTGTCAACCATTTTGTTTCATCCACCATTACTGATATTAAACTGTTATTTTTCAATCCAGTTTTCTTTTAATCCCTGGCCCCTAGAGATTTCTAACTGCTTCCTGTCCCCCTGGGTCGGCAAGAGAGTGACAGGGGTAGAATTGTCTCGAAAATTTCATGCCATGTGTCCTATAGTGTCATTTATATTGGGAATCGGAGGGGTCGGAACAGTGACACAATTCACTGAGTCCCTGTATGCAGTTGCTGTCCTGGCCAAATTTATAAGTGGTCAAGCTTTCAATGATGTAAAACCATGGCTCAGAAGATCAGTCTGAAATCTATGGGAGAAACAGGACTGAGAAAGCTGAAGCTACCTGTGTGTGGGGACAAAACTAATGACTCTAAATGAGGTAGCTTTCAAAAGAAGTTGTTCAGATGGGACAATTAACCGAGACCCCTTGTGCTACAGAATCACTCGACAGTTAAAAATCTTTCAAGAATAGCTGCTGTCATTGCACACTGCAAACCGTTTCCTGTCTTTAGAAAAGCAGGATGTAAATATACACATTGGCACAATTTAAAATAGCAAAAAAATGAAGAAAAAAAACAATATAACAATTTATTTGTAAATGAAATTGCATAGAAAAATACAAAATTACTGTCTTTTGATTCTATTATTAAACAACTTTCTGAATTCTCCTTTAAACTGTCTATACCTTATCAAAAATGCGTAAAAACTTGTTCTTCTAAACAGACAATATAACAACCCACAAATAAAATTTTCCACCAAAATTTATAACAAAGCCCCAAAACCGTAAGCAACAAAAAAATTACACAAATATGTAGACACCCTAAATATAAGAATGAAATTTTAGGTTTTGATACAAAAAACAACTTGAAGAATTCTGCGATTTTAAGGAGATTTTTGTCGGTAAAATGTAATTATATACATGGTTTCAAAAAAACATTTATAGAATTCCATGTCCTTATAGCCCCACCCCCTAATAATAACAAAATATACCAAGTATGAAATTTTAAATGCGTAGTTGAAAATATATAAAAGATTGCAATTCAAAAATACTTGGAATATATGTATGTACTGTGTCTATTTGCTCCTATGGCCCCCTTCGCTACCCCACCCCCCTTCTCTACCCCACCCCGAGATTTTGGCACCCTAACTATATAAGTACCAAAAGCACAATAAGTTTTACAAAATTTTTACACTGGAAATTCATATCTATATATATGCACTGTGTCTATTTGCAAAGTTCTGCCCCACACCCCCCCTTCTCTTCCCCACCCCCAGATTTTGGCACCCCCAGTGTCTCTCTGTACACTATGGGATTAAAGTTATGTTTTGCCGTTGAGTTCTCCGTGACATTGTGCCAACAGTTCAGATAAAGTGCGGTAGAGATTGTGTTCGGTTCCATGGCTCACTTTTATTCCAACTCCAGCCTGTAAAAAAAGAGATAATAGTTCGCTGGATTCCTGGATATCTTGAGGGGGAGTGGCATTGACTCACGGAGGTGAGATAATACCCTCAGATCCCTTGACAGTTGGAAATTCAAAATCTGATTAAATTCCACTGGAATAACTCTTCCAAGTGCCACCAGTTAGTCACAGAAATGCTTATGTTCTCAATCCTTTTTGGAGAGTTCACATAGCTAATTTCTTACCTCTTGTAGTGTCTTCAAGGCTTTGTCGGTTTTCTCCAGAAATAATTGTAACTTTCCAACTTTTAACAGTTGTAGAGACAGGTTCGGTGTATTAGTAGGGTACAATTTCCTAAAATTATGGAGAATATTTTAATCAAATAAATGAATCTCAAAAACAAATGAAAGAGATTGTAAAGAAGTTTTCCAAATTTTTTATGTGTATGTGGAACACTGTTAGCATCAATTTGTACCATTACAATTTTTAATCAGATGTCTGTGGTTCCTGTTATTCCACTAAAACTAAGCTTAACCATCGCAAAAGCCCTCAGATATCATTAGAAGCTTTTATGATTAGTGACGTCATAACACCTACTTGAAGTGGAATTGCAGGAACCACAGTTCACGTTGTTCGCCTCCTGATTTTCTCCAAAACTTACCTATATGGTGCCAGAGTTTGCAGACCATATTCCAGACCTTTCTTCCAGGATTCCAAGTTAATGCAGGAATCAAACGCCAGATCTAGCAGTCGAACTCGGTAGATGTTGTATTCAGCCAAGTTGGAATATTTTTCTAAATTCCTTTCACATTGTGACAAAATGTCAGTAAACTCTGAAAGTAACAAGACAATAGAAAGAACCATGCCAGATTTGGATCACTCACTGAACCACCGCGGCTCCAACACATGATTTTATAGAAGAGTCTTGTAGAAGCTCATCATAGTGATGTTTGTAGTAAATAATTTAGCCTATCTTTAGCTTATCTTAGCCCTGTGTACAGGTTAGAGTGATGTTTGTAGTAAATAATTTAACTTGGATCTTGTTAGTGAAAGCTGAAGACCCTGGTCTCAGAATTAGAATAAACTTTAATTTTGACAGTGATTGTGAAGAAAGCACTGGCTGAGGTCTGAGATTTAGTGATGTCTGTAGTAAATCCTGTAGTTACCTTAATCTTTCTTTAGATCTTTTCTGATCCCAGTAGTAATTCATTTAGTGATCTTCTTTAGCTTTGTGATTGATATTGGTAAAGAGTGCAAAAAGCACTGGCCCAGGCCTAACAGTTATAGTGATGTTTGTAGTAAATCATTTACTCACCTTTATTTTTTCTTAGATCTTCTAAATCTGTGATAGTTTTATCCACAAGTTCAATAGTTTTTAGAGAGTTCACAAGATATTCAGAGTTACTGTTTTCTATCTTACATTCACTACATGCCTTAAACCTATCTTCTGTAATACAAAGTTGCATTTCATTACAAACTCATTCAGAGAGTCCACATATCTTGGCATTTAGGATTAGTCAATTTAACAGTCTTATGACAATGGGAATTCCATGTAGTCTTTGAGCCAAGTGGAGTTTCTGCCATTAAGATGTCATATTTGGTCAAATATTTATTAAATCACAGGATACACCGTTGTTAAACAGAATATCAGAATGATGCAATGGAAGCCAGGAATGAATCCTATACATATTAAAATATCTTGTTTTTGAGAACCTACCTGTAGTGATGCCAAGGAAACCAGAACATTTCTTCTCTTGACATTTAAAACTATACATCAATTCATCCTGTAACAGTAAATATATAAAGTTTTATATCCTGATAGAGCTAATGTAGACCTGCAACGCCATGCAGTGTACATTGTTTAACTTTTTTCTGGATTGAAACCCTGGACCTTAAGGTTAGTGAACAAGTAACAGGGGTTCTCTTGCAGCTGAAAATACTTTGCAATGTGGCTATCTGTATGAATTAAATGGAAATTTCAGCTGTTTGCATTAGATGGTATAAAATTAGTGTGTTTTTGGTAAAACCATTGCCTGGAAAGGTATTAAATAAGTGCGTTTTTGAGAAACTATTGCCTATATAAGGTAATTAGTAGGTTTTAGTGAAAATATTGCCTGGAAAAGTATAAAATTAGTAGGTTTTAGTGAAAATATTGCCAGGAAAAGTATAAAATTAGTAGGTTTTAGTGAAAATATTGCCAGGAAAAGTATAAAATTAGTAGGTTTTAGTGAAAATATTGCCAGGAAAAGTATAAAATTATTGATTATAGACTGCAGTAATAAATTTATTTGAATTTGAATGAAGGTAACATCTGTTTAGTATATTGTCAACTCTTGTCACACCTGGGATATTTCTACCTGCCTGTACCAAGTTAATAGATACATTTGATGAATTTAGAATAGCTTTGAATACAGTTGTGTGATTTTGCTGTATTTGTTCATTGGACATTCTCTGTACTATATTGCAATTAAATTTAGTGGTCTAAATATAGTGGTTTTCCTGTAATTGTTTAAAGGATGTTCTATGGCAGATGTAGGAGCGAAATTTATAAAAATGTAAACATATTTCTGTAAGGAAGTTGTTACAGTGAACTAAATTACTGAAATTTTACCATACAAGGAAAAGAATATCTTGTTTGATCTGTGATCAAAATATTTAAACAGAAGTAATATTTTAATTGCGTAGAGGTTAGCAAGACATACGGACGAAAGTTTTATCAATTTAACGGCTGAATATTAATTCAATAAGACCCAAGTATCAGAATTTTTATCAGTTTTAAGGATTGAATTTTAAGGCCAAAGTTTCATTATCAAACAAGTTTAAGTTGAAAAGTTATATTGGATTGTGATTAAAATTCAATTTTGTATATTATCAGTATAAGGAGTTAAATTCTAAGGGCCAATGTTTGATTGACGATCAAGTTATCGAAAAGTTATCTATAATTTTATCAATTGAAACTTGGTGTATTATATCTTCAGATTATTATCAATATATATCAGGATTAATCAGTATCATATCTGATTGCATCCATTACAAGTCTGGACAAACTAGAATACTTGTCGTCTCAGGACTGATGAACCATGCTCTTCGTCTAAGGAGGTGTGTTTCTTGAATATCGGAAATGATTTTGAACTAAGGACTGCATTTTTAAAGAAAATATTTACCTTTTGAATAGGAATGTGTAAATGGAACATTATTACTAAATAAATTAGTTATCTTGGATTTTAAAAAGGGACAACAAAGTAAGATAAATACGAGATCTTTTATTTTGGATTATAAATTGTGAAACAGTTATCTTGATTACAATATATCTTTTGAATTTTGAAAATAATAGCGTTCATGAAAGAAGGAAAAAGGCACAGTATTTTATTTAAGATTATGAATTGTGAAAATCATCAAGGAAAATTTTCAATTTATGGACAAAATTGTTGTGTTTTGAATGGAAAGGTATCTTTTGAATTTTGAGATGTAACGATTTTGAATGTAGACAGCATTTCATCTATCTTTTGTATTTACAGACTAATTGTGTTTTTATCAATGAAAGTGTAAATCTTTTTATAATGAATGGACAATTATGCAAATAATTCTAATTGAGTAATTTTGTGTTGAATTGACAGAAACAGACGCTTAAAGAATTAAAGCAGAAGTGGAATTTTTAGTTATTTAGTATTGAATGGAGGGAAAAGATTTGGAAAAGCAGACGTCAGATTTTGTGTTGAGTAGATGGTCATTTCTGGTGAAGAAAACTGTTGGAATAAGCTCCAGTCAGACATTTTTGTTAAATTTTGTAGTAATTAAACAAAAGCAGAAGTAGGATTTTTTAAAAATGGTGTCAAAAATGCCAGTTTACCAGTGAGACGAGGGTTTGAAAGTAAGATTACATTTTCGTCAGTCATTGCTGTGGTTGACTGACTGGATTTTAAACATCAAATTTTCAAAATGGAGTCCAAAATACAAGACTTGCTACAGTGTCCTGTCTGCTTGGGTCAACTGAAGCAGCCGAGAATTCTTCCATGCTTTCATTCATTCTGTGAATCGTGTCTAGACACTCATATCCAGACGTCATCTCAAAGACATCAGAGTTACTTCTCTTGTCCATCTTGTCGCGTCGACACTATAGTGCCGTATAACTCCACTCAAGGATTCCCACGAGACTTTCGATTAATTACCTTCATGGATGTTTTGAATTCAGTGGCTGGAAGCAGAAATGCTTCAGTATGTGACGTCTGCAGTTTGGAATCAAATTTTGAAACTGCTGTGTCATTCTGTGCCGAGTGCAAAAAGTACTTCTGCAACATTTGCACCAAAACTCATAAACAGAAGCCATTTTTGGTAGAACATTTGCTCATAAGTCTTCAATGTAATGAATCATCCAATGAAATTCAAGAAAGATGCAAAACTCATGTGAACGAGGCTGTTCAATATGTCTGCCGAACTTGTGACCTTGAACTATGTGTCATCTGCATTCTGAAGGATCATGAAGGTCACAGTATTATTAAACTACAGACGGAAAGTATGATAAGAAAACGATGCTTGACAACCGCTTTCAAAAATGTGCACAAAAAAATTTGGAAAACTCATGAAGAAATGTTCAACCTAACGTGTCTGGATGGACGTCTAAAAGGACATTATGCAGAATCGAAAACTCTAATCCAAAAACGATCACGTAAACTAGTGCAAAGGATTCTGGGTGATGAAAAGAAATTCTTACGAGAATTGGACACAGATTTTTTCCAAAAACGGCAAGAAATCGACCAATTAAAAGACATATATCGTAAGAATCTAAAAGATTTTGAAATCTTCCAATCACAGTTGAGACATTTGATGACGTCAGAGCAGACGGACTCAATTTTATCGAAAGAAATTGTGGAAAAAATTAGGTCAGTGGAGAGCCAGACACAAACTATGCGCCCAAAGTCTTTGAAAACTGTCAAAAAATTCCAGCCAGGCAAACTTTTTGAGATGGGAGCATTTTACTACTTGACCATGGATGACGGAGACATGACAGATTTTTCAACATCAAATGATTCTGGGATTGAAAATTCTGTGTCGCTACCAAATCTTTCCGAACTTGACAAAATTCCAATTGAGCGAACAATGGAGCCGAGAGTTTTACCAAAATTGCCAAACCCTAAATACATTCTGAAGGTTCAACTGATTTCTAAATTTGGTGGCAAAGAGAAATCTAACAGTCAATTAAGTCTTCCATACAATATCTCTTTCTCGCATAATGACGAAATCATTGTGGCTGAAAATGGTGCCAGACGGGTTCAAATTTTTGACAAATATGGACATACAGTTAAAACCGTCCAAAACAATTCCATAATACCAAGAGGAATAACTCTTATTAACTCCGACACCATCGCAGTAACTGACGAATCATCGCGGGGCGTTAAAATATTCAATATGGCAGGCACACTGGAGAGAGATTTCACCCCTGAATGTATGACACTGCCTTATGGGATTGCTGCGACATTAAATGGTGATTTCGTCTTTACAGACATGATATTTGAAACTGTGAGCGTTGTGAAACAAAATGGCGAACTACGTTATCAATTTGGTGGACATGGATGTTCCGACAACCATTTTGACAATCCAGGATATCTATTGGTTGACTCCCGCGATCGCATCTTCGTATCTGATTGCGGAAACCACTGTATCAAAGTTTTCACCAAACACGGACACTTCTTATTCAAATTCGGAGAATATGGCACAGGCTCCGGAAAGATTCGCTACCCAAAAGGTATCGCAGTTGACAAATCTGGCAATATTTTCGTAGTGGATTCTGGGAATGATCGTGTTTTAATGTTTTCAAGGGAGGGAACCTATTTAGGTATAGTTCTAGACCAGTCACATGACCTCTGTCGACCAACCGGATTGGCTGTTACTTCAACCAATCTAATGGCTGTATCTATGCCGGATTCTGGTGAAATTTGTGTTTTTGCTATTTCCTCTTGAAATTGTATTTTCATTTTTTCATATTCAAGACATATTTATCACTTAGCTTTGGGATGTAAGGGTGAATTTTTACTAACTTTTCAAAATCGTTCTTTCACACAAAAGAATCATTCTGTCCTTAGGTTTTTCTTAGGGTTTTTTCTCATTTGGGTTTAAAAAAATTTATTTATATATGATTTAAATATATTTAATATCTGTTTTTATTTATAAGTTATTATTTAATAAATCTTAAATTACTGTAGTCTGTAATGTTCTTGTCATAAATAGAGTTAGTTCCCTTTGAATGGAGTTTGGCATTGGTTGTAAAGCTTCAATAAAAGTTTCTCTGGACTCACCAAATCTGTATCAAGGCATCTAGAGCATTCACAAGAAAAATAATATTGTTCTTCCAGCTCTGCCAATCTTTCTACGGAAGGTTTAAGTTGGTCTATATAACTTATAAACATCTGAAATACACAAAGTTGTATAAATATTGCGAGAAAACATTGATTAATTTTGGGTAAACGGTCAATTAAATGTGCAAAGGTTGTGGAAGAATCTTTCCACACAGTGGCTAAGGTACCTAGTTCTTCTTTTCCTGTTTGTGACATTTCAGAACCAAACCACTCAATTCACAACCAGGTTATGCCCCTTGGTGTCCGTCACAAACTTCACAGCTCTACACCAAATATGAAAAATATTTTTACCTTATTTGGTGTGGTGTCTGGGATATCTTTCAACGCCCGAATAAAAACCGTTTTACCAGAAAATATGGCCACAGCATTGGGGTCACAGGAATGATCTAGCATTGAGGGGCTGAAATAAGAAGAATAAACTTTTATTAATATTTGGTTATGAAAATCTTTTCTATTTTGTGGAGAACACATTTTTGGTAATTGCTAAAAATTGGCTTGATTTTCATGAAACTTAGAAAGATGGACAGAAACTTGAGCTATTTTTTTGTATTCTGGTATAATTTTTTTCCCCCTGCTCAGTTATTTCCTAAATACGCCTCTGATGGCTAAAGGGTTTGGTTTGAAGGACAAACCTGGTATAAATTCCACTACCAATCGGTTGTAAGTCATCATTACAAATACTAAACGTGTTGATCACCATCTGAAATAAAGATAGCATTCATTTTTACCTCTGTTTATAGAGAACATAATATCTTTCCAAAACTGAATTGTGGTTTAAAAAAAAGTCAACGAAAAAGTTTGACCAGCCAAGACTCACTTGGTTTTATTTTGCTATTCATTTTTGTTCATTAATATTAAGTGTAAATGTAAGTCATTTTGATATCACTTTTTAGAATGCCAGGCCCTAAAAAAGGGTCGCTGTCAAATATATGTTACGTACCATTCCAAAAAATGAGAACAGTGTATGGGCTGGTGGGAGTGTCATGTGATCCTTCGTCAGTTCTGTTACCGTTGACAACATCTGCGTGAAAATTTCTGATCTTTTTTCATCTCGTTGAATGTCTATGCTATCTGTAATATCAATTAAAGCTTTAATTAGAGGATCAGAAATTGATATGAAGAGAGCATTTAGTTGAAATAAAATATATAGAAAACATAGATTCATATCTTACCAGAATATCCTAGGTTCTAAAGAATCCTTTCTACCAGCTGGTCCCCTGGCCAAACTTCTTGTCATTGATTTTACAAGGATAACAACTTGGGTTCATGGAATCTTGTCTAACAGCTGGTCATTGGCAAAACGTTTTTTTTTTCATGAAGAGAGAATCCAACGATTTCTTGAATATATTTCATCTACGTATTTGTTAAATGATTTCAATGGTGTTATTGGAAGAGCCTTTAGGCGATATACTGATAGTTTTGAAAATATTTCTTACGTGATTCAAGTTCTGAGAAACATCTCCAACCAGGGTCATCTGGGGTCAACTTTTCATCCTCGCTTTTCTACAAAAAATAAATGATGTGCATGTGCTAAGGGCGGGACTAACCATGTCAATCATCTGCCACTCCTCCAACAAATTTGGAGGCAATTTCTAATACACCCCTCTGTCAGTCTTTGCCAGCAGTTAGCCTAAACAGGTTCAGAAAAGCAGGATGTAAAACTCCAGTTCGTGTCATTTGGAATAAGACTAGATAAAGCCTAGTTATGGTGCTTCCCAAGAAATTACATATTGGTCTTAATGACAACAATTTCTAAGTCTTTCTGTTTAAATTCACCATCTTGAAAATGTTTTTTCTACATACCATATGTCTAATGATAATCCGCAAAAAAAGACGAACTGAATCTGTGGGTATGATTGGTTGAGACTCTTTAAAACATGGACATTCTGTTTTATGGATTGGCCAATCAGCTTTCTGAAAAATAACAAAAAATTTTTTAAAAACTAGATATCTGGCCATCTTGACTTATAATTAATTTCATATTATTCCCATACATTCTCCCTTAAATATAATACACTACAGAAATAACTGAAATTGCCTAAACAATATTTTCAAAGATTTGATTATTGATATAGGCCTACATATATTTTTACCTGACAAACTACTCCACAATATTTCACCAAACCACATGCAGCACATTTCTTTAACTTTTCACATCTAAAATAATATAAACTGGTTGACTTGTTGACTCTAGACTTGGTTTGTGTCATTATTTTTGCTTGCCCATCCAGTAACATTTCTATGGATATGCCCTCTCACAACCCCCCCCCCCCCCCCCCCCCCCTCCCCCCAACTTCTTTTTCTATCCCTTTTCATTTTATCCCAACAATCTTGCAGCTTGACAATGCACCCCTAACCTTTATCGACAAGTTAAATGCCCTGACAAAATAGAACTGTCTGCAATCATGACTCAAAATGTTTTCTCAATTCAATAAGCATGGCGATTGCGAATGAACAAAAAAAAATAAAGGCGGGCAGTTTGTCTCAAAATAAGTCAAAATTTCTAATCAACTAACGGTAGGAAACAAAAACTACAAAGTTTGTCGATTTCCTTGTAAGCCAGGACATGGACATACGGCTCAGCTTTCGCAATCAATTCCCCCTTTTTGCTCATTTTGCGATCAAAATGCGGTTTGTAGTTTGTTTATTTTGGAGAAAGCGAAAGTAAACCGGAAGTGGAAATAGCCGTGCAAGGGGACGTAACTCTTGCAGTGTATTGGATCTAGACCACAACTAGTTTTTTTCAGACTTCGTTTTACTCATTTTATCTTGAAGATCTTTTTCATAGCATATCTATATTATGTATATTTCAATTTTGCATTTAGTTTAGCAAACGATTTGTGTTAGCTTATGGCATTATTCTTTTCATGGAAACGCAAATCCTCACGGAATCAACCCCCCCCCCCCCCCCTCCTGGACCACCCCTTAGCAACTTCAACTCTATCAAAAGTAAAATGTGAGAAAGTCTCTAGAATAGCGTTTAAATAGGTCAAGTCACGGAGGAAGCTTTCGATTCAACTTTAACGACCCCGTCCCGAAGCCGAAACTTGGACCCATGCCCTGACTTGTGTTATGACGTTGACGTCAAAAAATGTTGACGTCAAGTTTCTTTATGTTGGTAAAGTCACCAAGCAATCCAAATTTTGCAACTGACGCAGACAACATGGCCGCACACGGAGATTTTCTCCATTTTTGAAACAAAAATGGTGGGTGAATTTAGTGATCAGGTGGCAGAAATGGAGGCGCAGGATTCGAGAACTTGTAGAAAAGGTTGGAGACGTTTTGTCGCTGATGTTTTGAGCTGTTTTTCTCTGGTCGGAGTTGCCTTACGTCGCGTTTTTACCTGGCGGAGAAACGAACCGGAAGCGTTTGAATTGCAAAATGAACCCATTGAGTCAGTTTCTGTGATATCCGCCGGTGCATCGACGAACAGTTCCTTCGATGTCCGAACCTTGGAAGATTCTTATTCAGCTTTCCATGATTTCGGAGAGACTGAATTTAAGTCGAAAAATGGACGAAAACCGAATTCTGCCAGAGGAAACGCATCACGCAAGAAGGATCCGACTAGAGACCGCATCTGTAATCCCGACGGGAAATATGCTACAATCTCTGAAGAAGTAATTCCCACGAATATTGATGTCAGGGAACGAGGTGAACCGAACTCTAACCAGAAGGAAGAAATTCCAAAAAGTAAGTTAGGATTTTATCCGAACTCTTCTGAGGAAAATGGTACTGCTCTACCACGAAAAGCTGTGAAAGTGGAACACAAAGCTCTTGTTCACAGATCTGAAAATGAGCTCGCGACACAGCACCTCGATAGTCTGGATGTGAAGCTAGAAAGTCTCAAAGGGAGCAAGAAGTCCATAGAATCAAATGCTCAGCGTCCTGATAATTTGACCAGGACCCCCGATCAAAAACCCTCGAAAGAACCAGAGGTGAAAAAGAAGATCGCAGAATCCGTCGTTACTGTACAGAACTCAGAAAACGTGGTAGGTCTAAGGGTCTCAGACCATGAACTCTCAAGGACTTCAGTGGAGAAAGCAGAAGCAGGTCCAAACCATAAGCGTTTCACTTTCAGGCCTAGCAATTTGCTTAAATTAAAAAAATCGGGATATAAAAATTACCCGAACGGTCAATCTACTGGCAAAGACTCCGAACCCAAGCAACAAGACCTATCACAATTGAAACCAAGAGATGAAAAACCGGAAGCCAATGAAGGGGATCCGAATCCAGAACTGATCGAGAGACCGATTAACCATGAATCGACCTCCAACAAAACAGATGCATCGTCCAAAAGCGACAACCAACCATCCACGGAGAGGTTAGATGCTAAACGAAAACCAGTGCAAGAGAAGACATACAAGGATCATAGAGACAAAACTACGGATTCGTCAAAGGCACCTATTAATGTCAACCATCCATCCTCGGCAAAAATAGAGACCAAACCAAAAGACCCAAGAAACCAAAACCACAATCACCAGAAGGTCAACACTGAATCCAATGCTGAAGCAGAAGATTTAAAAAACCCGCCACAATCAGAGGAAAAGACCATTAGACTCACAAGCAATCTTCCTTCCAATCAAAGGAAGGAAAACGTCGGAGCTCAACCAAAATTAAAAGACTCTACCGTCACGTCAAAGAATTTTCCTTCAGAAGAAAAGGCTGAAGATTTGAGGCTAAGTAAGAAGCTCCAAAAGTCTAGAATGGAATCACAAACCGTAAATAAAGACTCCAAGGGACCTATATCGGATGATCCAAGCTCATCCAGTAACCAAAAATCTAAACCGAAAGAGAAGGATGAGATGACCAAAGATAGATCTCAAGCCAAACCTAAAGAATCAAAATTTATCTCGGATAACCAACAATCAAATCTGAAAGAAACGACCAAAGGCGAACCCCAAACCAAGACCAATGATTCTAAAGCCGCGTCACAACCGAAAGCAGAAGTAGAATCTAAAGCCTCGAGTAACCAACACTCAAATACGAAAGGAAAGACCAAAGGCGAAACTCAAGTCAAAACCAAACCGAAAGCAGAAGCGGGGCTTAGCGCTTCAAGTAACGTACAACCAAACCAAACAGACAGGGAAGAGACTGAAGCCAAATCTGATACCCAGGAAATCAAATTCAGAATTGATCCGAACATAATGCCGAGGATGGGAGACGACCTTATAACCATGAAGTTCAAGATGTTCCAGCAGCTGGCCAGTATCGAGCAATTTGAACAGCACAGAGCCGAGGAACAGGGACTACCTGCCGGACCAAAATACCCCTTCTCTCCACAATGGCTGCTCGACAATCCAGATGAATTTATGGCAATAGATGCCACAGTGGAATATCCAAGCCAAGAAGAAGGTTCTTCTGAAGACGAAACGTCGCCGAATACGTCCAAAGTTGAATCGGAAGGTAAGATTAATAGTCAGTTGGGTTTCTACGGGTGGGGGCAGCGTAGTCTGGTTTTGCCATCCACTCCACTTTCACATTTCTTTAGAAACTACTACCCCCTCCCCTCCTCCCAGTGTTATAAAAACGCCCGAAGAGTACGAATTTGACCCCCAATACACAACACCCCTTATATTAAGTAATTCTTCGTCGGAATTTACAATCCCCAATTGGGTTTGAGGTGAGAATGGTTTGTATGAGTTTGTACCATTCTTTCCTATTATAAACAGGCTGGAAAATCTAGACTAACATCACTCTCGCATAGATTATATGAATTTGATTGTAGACGAACTCGACATCGCGGTATTCATTTTGAAAATGTTGCAAAGCATACATTTATTTTGCATATCATTCAAACTTCCCAATTTCAGACACCAAATCTTACGAAGATGATTTTACATCCGAAGATGAGTCAGAAGACGACGAAGATGGTGATGATGATAGTTATGATGATGACGAAGATGATGATGATAGTGATGATGGTGATGATGATTCGAGCTCAAGCACACCACGATCCAGCTCAGACGAACAATATTCGTCATCCGACGATTGTCGTACCACGGTTGAGGAAAGTCAGGAGAAGAATTTGGAAGCTGAGCAATCACACAATGATAACCTGACCCCAATGCACACGAATTGCGCGTGTGGTAAGCGTTCAGACACTGAAACATCTGAGGAGAATAACGGCTACGAACAAAACGTAGTAGCTCAACCGTGGGATTACGAAGAAGACGTAGACGAAGGAGAAGATCAAAAGGAAGTTTCGGAAAGGAATTCAACGACACCATCCGATGAAGTTTTGTCAAATCAGAGACGTATCCTCAAAGAGGGTAAAGGTTTAAATGAGAAAGATGTGAGCGAAAGGCTGATAGAAATGCACAAGTGTTGGAAGCGAGTGAAAAAAATTGAGGTTGTGTCAACGAAATATCCGAGGAGACGATCAACATCGCCTGTATTACCAGTCCAAGAAACTTTACGGGTGGAAGAGGAACAGAGGATTCAACGCGAGTACGAATATGACTCCGAAACTCCGGTCATTTTGAGAGTGGCCTACGGTCAGAAGGTCTACCACCTCAAACTGAAAAACTGCACCATCTGTAGCCTGGAATTTGATGCTTTTGTGCCTCACCAGGAAAGCCTGAGAACAGTTGGTGCAGCTGCGTCAAAGATCCCGATCCGAACGAAGTTAAGCCCCGTTCTACCACGCCATGATCGTGGCTACACCAAAGACGATTATGTTTTCGGGAAGGGCCTCAGTCACTTGGCGTACAGATATCTCCGAATTGTCGTCAAGATCCATGGAAAGCGGTTGGCAATACCTATAGACCTTGAAAAGGATCGCAAAATGGTGCGCGACTTCATAAGGAACCCTCGATCTTCCTTGTTGACGGATCCGCCGGGTTTGGGACAGTTCATATTGGATAAAGCTATGGCTATATTACAAGAACGGCCTCAATGGAGGTTCTGCGGTAAACACGTAGACGAGCAGCTGAAATATCATAAATGGTTCTCACAGTGCAATGCGTCCACGGAAACGGAAACGTCCTCTCCAAAGACCCAGGACGCAGCATCCAATGTATCATTTGGAAGTGAAGGTGAGGAAGATCACATCGAGGAGCAGGGCGATGAAGAAGAGGAGGATCAGGAATCGGATGAAGAACCGGAAGTTCAACCAGCTCGACCTCAAAGGATGCCTTTACCGGACGAAGAAATGCAAGAACCGGAACCGTTCACCGACGATCTTTATGCAGAAAGGACTGAACAACTTTTAGCTGAGAGAGCGGAAAAGGAACGAAAAGTGAAAGCTGTCCAACAAGCTGGCAAAAGCAACCATCACGTCCGAAAGACTTTTGCAGACAAATTCACATTTATACAGGAAAAATACTTCTGTCCAAATCCAAGCAGACGACAATTTAACGAAAGGAAATATAACATCGGATTCGTCCCGAAGAATGAAAAATGGATCCAGGTGGACGTCGACGCCGATCTTGCCAAGGAACATATCCGGAAAGAAGATCTGATAGATGCGCACGCGTATCCAATACAACCCGAAAACTATGACATCGGTACGTACCGGATGGATGAATGCGTCGCTGTCCAGAAAGCCAAAAAGGGCCACCTGGAAGGTCTTGGGGGCAAACAGAAGGTGAAAACTCGGGGAATTCCCAACAAACATCTGGAGAAGCACTACTTTGAGAAAGAATTGAAGAATCTGGAAAAGGACGAAGAAGAAAATGCCGACGAAGAGGAAACAGTTTTTGGAAATCCAGAAATTAACGAAATAACAGAGCCGAAGCCAATCTTTGTTGAAACTGGTTCACCGGAATTGGACATGCGACACATAGAAGACAAGCCCTGCAAAGTTCTTCAAAAACGCCCAACCGCTGCCAATCCTCCAACTCCGTCCAAAAATAAAAACCGTAAGAAGAGACATAGAACCACTTCCGGGGCGAATCCTGGAGCGGCGATCGCGCCCACCAATTTAGCAGAATCCCTTTTTGATTTTTCCCATTCTAAACCAAATCGTGCCAAAAAACGATAGAACGAATTTTTTATATCAAATTTTTTAATGAACTTTTAAAAAAAGAAAATGTATCTACATCTGTAAACGAGTTTTACTTTCTTGTCAAACCATTCCTGCCCCTTGCCCTTTAAATATAACCCTTTTTTCAGAAAAATAAGTCGAGAATGGCCTAGAGTTTGTTTTGGCACAGATGCCCGTCCATAATGCTTATCAACTTAGTCTTGATCAATTAGAGTCTGGAAACACGAGACTAGTTAGTTTCATGTAAACTTCCGGTTTGAAATTCAACCCGCTGGACTTGAAAATGTGTGATTTTATGTGAATTTTCGATTTTTCGGGCTAGAAATAGAGATCAGACGTTATAGGTAGGTAACTAAATATTTTGGGGATGATTCAACGATTATGTTCAACATAGTTGACGTTTTCCTCCACACTTTATCAACGATTAGCAATAATAGTGATCAAAAACAAAACGATAAACCAACAAAAATGCAAAGAGTCAAACTGCACAACAGCACACTACATGACAAGCCTTATAATAACTAGTGATAGAGCTTAATATGTGCTGCCTTGCATTACAAAACCGCTTGTACCAGTAGTAAGACAGCACTTGGCTAGCAATAGCACCAACCATCACTATACCCATGCAAACACCAGATCAATGACGGGTAGAGAGGTAGATGGTGATCTCTCAATGCTTTCATACTAATAGAGCCCTTCTATTTAGAGTTGTGGGGAGGGGGGTGCTGGGTGCTGGGAGGCTTTGTGATAAAAAATTAAGCTAAGCTTGCACTCAGGAAAGGAATTAATTTGAATGCTAATTCTTCCTGATAGGCTACTGGTATGCCAAGGGCATCTTAAATGATTTAAATACAGTCTTGTAAAAAAAAATTCCTGACACTTTTAGGAGTCTTTCACAAGGAACATTTTTTTACTTGTCTAACAGGAAAGGAAGCTAATATTTTCCTGTCAAGGTAAGGGTATATGAGTAATATTTGAGATATTGTAATAAAATACCTGAGAGGATTAAGGCCTGTTATTAATCCTGTCAGATATTCACTAATCCTATTATTATTATTACTATTATCCTCTTGTCTTAAACTTATGATACCCTCTCATATCATTCATTCATTCATTCATTCATTCATTCATTCATTCAATTAGTCTTTCTGTCTATTTATCATTCTTTTATTAATTCCTTTGTTTCTTTTGTAGTCATTCATTCATTCATTCTCATTTGTGCACCTTCATTCCTGAACTTTACTCTTCTTTCTTTCTGTTTTTCCTTGTCTCTATTTTATCATTCATTCATTGATATGGGAAAATAAATCAAGTTGGAAGATTTTGAAACAAATAGTCAAGATATCACAAACAATGACCCCCTAAATACTGAAGTATATTTTTAAACTATTTGTCAAGTTTTTGAGATTGTCATCACTCCCCATTGATTGCTTTATACTTCATACAAATTAAATGTAGCGTAACCATCAAATTTGGGTGTTCAAATTTTACAACTCTAGTCCCCGTCTAACCCTGTTTTATTACGGTTGGTGAAATTTGTCATCATTTCTATTGCCTTTATGATAATGATAGATTTATTTTACCTGAATATTGATATAATGAATAGGTGAGACAGTGGTTCACTTTGTCCAAAGAACTTCATATGATTAATTTTAACCAGTTAATAAAACATACAAGAGGGATTACCTCACACAGGAAAAACTTAGTACATTGGATTACACCCCCTGCAGAACTTAAACATAGGTGGTGGGGGAGGGGGGCATTTTACAAAACTGTGATATATGCACTCAGGAACTGACTATCTTAGTTTTTATCGTTATGGTACCCCTAAAAAGGTGAACATCCCCTGCTTACTTCAAGGAGAGTGTGTTGGGTATTTTACACTAACCAACCTATTAGTTTAGTAGCTATAATACACACTTGAATTCCTTTTCAAAATGAATATCTCAAGACCAATTTTCCTTTGACAAGAAAAGTTTTTAATAAAGTGGATAAATACATTATAAATATTAGCTTGATTGACTGAGGAAGAATATTTTTTTCAAAGTTTTTTTTAGTTAACTTTACATCTGTGAATGTTTTTTTTTTAAATTGTTTGTAAGGTAAAGTAAATGAATGCAATGATGATGGGAAAACTTTGGGCTTTTGTGTTATACATGCTATTTGAATATATGGGGAAAACTTTATTTCCTTGAGAATATATTGAAATAAAAAAGATGTTACCAACCACTTTATTATAAAAGGATAACAATTTTGTTTCACAAGGATCCTGTCTACCAGCTGGTCCTTAGCTAAACCATTTGGCATTGATTTTACAAGGATAATATCTTGTTGACTGGAATCATGAGGACATATTCAAGGTCACCAGGCTTTCACACGCCAACCAAGACTAGAACCCATGACCATCAATTGTTTGATGTAACCAAGAAAATAAGTTACATAAAGTTTTCAACTCTCTTACTGACTGTACTTAAGCCTAGCTCAATCTGTACATTTTAGGGCTTTTTCTGCGAAAAAAACATAATCTCTCACATTGATTGACTGGAGATCAATGGTGGCTCACGGCCATCGTGTCACAATCTGCTAGCTAGGTTAACATGAAAGATTATATCAATGGTGGCTCACGGCCATCATGTCACAGCTATAGCTATATATCACCTAATATTATATTTGTTTGAAATGACAATATTAAAGTGCTAATAACAAGTTGTCAAACATATTAATATCTAAATATTGATGTCAGTTAGATTCGTTAATTATCTTGTTTATATCACTGGTGTTAATTGATTATGATTTCATGGTCAAGAACCTTTTTTAAAATTATTTTTCCTCATTATAACAGTCAATACATCAATGCCAAGGGATAGGAAGTTTTTTTGAATGATTATTTTCTCATAATTACAATTGGTGCAGTTAGTCATTTATATATTTCCTCATTATTCTATATAGACCCAGCAGTAAAGGGGAAAGCTTCCAGATAATCAGGGAAAGATCAAGACTGAAGGATTAAACCATGACCATTTAACCAATACTCGTGTACCTAAGTTAAATATATTTCATGTTTGGCCAGCTGATAGACAGGATTCTAATGAACCTAATTTGTTTCTAACAAAAATTTTATTTGTGTTTTTTTTGATTATTGAGTTAAGTTTTCATAAAGTTTCAGGTATATACCCCATCATCAGTGATAAGCAATTACAAACTGTTCCTTTCTCTTTCAGATTGAAGTGATGATTTAATGTGGAAAGTTGTGTTGGCAGTCAAATGTTATTCTGTAGTTTTGGATAGAAAAGATTCTTAAAAACTAGGCAATATTTAGAAAAGTTGTGGAACCAGTGACATTTTGTCAGTCTTTCTTGAAATAAACATCAATAGGGACAGAACATATGATATGATAAAGATATTAGATATAAGTAAGTAATATTGGAATGGTGCGAGACTTAGAAATGAAAATAAGTTTTGAATGTTAACGACTGTATATTTGCAGACAAGTCAGACGACAATGGAAGAATTATGGAGATAAATAGTAAAATGTCATGTTACAAAAAAAGATAATTGAAATGAAATATTGAGAGGAAACTGAATCCATTGGTTTCGTTTTACTGATTACAACTAAATTAACATCTTCACTGCCGTTAATTAGGACTCACCTGTTGTTACTATGGTGTTGCCATGGTGATATATGGGTGCCAGAATGGTTGATATCAAGCAGACACAATGTCAAATGTCTTTGGGTTACAGTCAAAAAATACATCCATGTCGAAGAGTCGCACAACTTCAGACTTGAGGCAACGTTTGCAGGAAAATCCAAAAATTTAAACGATCTTTTATATGGACATTCGCCTTTCCAGAAAAAGTTCAGTCGGAACAATTCCAGAGAATCTTCGGAATCATCAAATTCAGGAAAAGATGGTCACCAGAATGGAATTACAGACGCTAAGAATTGTGGTCAACAAAATGGTGTCGCAGATGACACAAAGTTTGAGTCAAAAAGTCAAAGACAAAATTCTCAAAATTTTGAAACCACCTTAAAGTTATTTAAAGAAAATTGCAAACCAAAAGAAGGAATTAGAATTGTGCCTGCAAAATCTGTAATTACTCGTCAAACTGTGTCTGCTTCCAGTTTACAAAATGGTGGAACTTCCTTGGATACCAAACAGCCATTGACTGCTGCTGAGAAGAAAAGACTGAACTTTCAAAGCACCAGAGAAAAAGGAACTACTTCTAGTTTTGCAACATCTTTTTTAAGTTCTTCTGCTTTGCAGGCTGTGACATTTTCTGTTGAGTCATCTCAAAAGGATTCTGGGAATTTAACAGATGTCAAATTGCATTCTTATCATGGAGAAGATTCTCAAAGTCTGCTGACTTCTGCAAGTGATTTGAATCATTCTGTGACCAACACTGCCAAAAATGTGTCTGCTGCAAAATCGGCCAATTCTCAAACTGCTGGAATTTTAGAAATGCCACTTATTCATTCCAAAGTTTGGGACGCTATTAAGCATACTTCGACCAGTCATATGACAAATGGAGCAGAAGTATCCAATTATATAACTGCTGGAGTCGAAAAGTGCGATCATGTGACAAATGCCAATGAATCATCCAATCGGGTGGCTTTAGAAATCAAGGCATCTAATCAGAAATCAGAGGAAGCAGAATCATCCATTCAAAATGTAAATGAAGTGCAATCAACGAAATCAAGACAAGACAAGACAAATCAAATTAAATCAAATGAAAATGTGCAATCAAGAAAATCAGATTTGGAAAAAAGTCACAAGATCGTTAAGAAAGGTCAAAATCAATTTAATTCTAAAAGTCTGGATAATTTTCATCTCAAAGCTAAAGAATCATCAACCAGACTTACAAAAGAAACTGCAACCAAAGCAGATGGGTCTTTTCCGAATGAAAAGTCGCATACGAAAAGTTTTGAAAATTCGGCGAGAACACTTAAGCTACTGAATCAGGATAATGAACGACTGTCTGCCTTTTCGCCCTATCAAGGTCAAGGATGTACCGAGGTTGTGGAATCTGCGACTGATAGTGCCGTGGAGATGGATTTGACAA